CTGAATGGGTTTTATAGAAATTACAGGTACTACTAGGGGCGCCTGGGTGGCTCAGTCGGTTAAGCGTCGAACTTCGGCTCAGGTCATGATTTCACGATTGGTGTGTTCAAGCCCCGCGTCGGGCTCTGTGCTGACAGCTAGCTCAGAGCCTGGCGACTGCTTCAGATTCTGTATCTCCTTCTCTCTCTGACCCTTCCCTGCTCACGCTGTGTCTCTCTCTCTCAGAAATAAATAAAACAATAAAAAAAAACCTTTTTTATAGGTTCTACTAGAATATTGAAAAAGGTGCAACAAGACTTTCCAACCACTTCCTGTTTAGTAGATAACATTTAGCAGTTACCCATAAATTCATGGAGAATATATAATAACAATCTAAGAGAAGAAACACATTATTCTATTTTAGTGAATATTTTGTCAAGCATCCAGTACATGGTACAGATCCAGTTTTAACTCAGGTTAATTGACCTAGAGTTGATCAAAAATGACAAAGAGGTCAATATACAAAAGGACCTTAAATCAATGTTCATAGCAGGCATCAATCCTAGAAGAATGCTGGAAAGAAGCAGCACACAAAAACTGATCTTCCTGTATACATTCCATGCCCACATGCATACGTTTTGAAAGTAGTTTTATAGCATTAAAAGTGATAGAATAGAAAATTATCAGGGTGAGTAAAACACAGTTTTAATGAGCAGTGCCTGGGTGGCTTAGCTATTTAGGTGTCCAACTTTTGATTTCAGGCTAGATCATGATCTCAAGGTTTCTGAGTTCAAGCCCCACCTCAGGCTCTAGGCTGACAGTGTGGAGCCTGTTTGGGATTTTCTCTGTCCTTCTCTTTCTCTGCCCTCCCCTCTCTCTCAAAAATAAATTAAAAAACCAACCAAACAAAAAACATTTCGATGTCATGAAACTCCTCAATCTAGCTTTAGAGGAAGATGCTTAGGTCTTTTCCTTACACTATCAACACAAACACTTAAATGATATGAATATAACAGTTTTTATTTGAGTCTACTATAATGAGGGATACAAATCGAAATACGTTCACTTCACCACAGAAGCCTGACCTAGAGCCTGCAAAGTTTTCATAACAATCAAGACTCCTTCCTGCATTCTGCTGCTGCTGCTTCTTCTTTTTTTCAGTGTTTATTTATATTGTGAGAGAGAGCATGGGCAAGTATGTTGTAAAAGGAGGAGAGGCAGAGAGAGGGAGAAAAGTAATCCCAAGTAGGCTCCAGGCTGTGACTGAGGCACTCAAGGGGCCCTGGATACTGCATTTGAAAAGGGTCTCATGATGGCTGATATGTCTCACCAATTGTTAATATTGAACTGAAAGATAAGCAGCAGAGAAATCGTGCGGAAGTCCTTATACAAGTAGAAATCTACAGAAACATTTGTGATTGAACACTCTGTGCATCTACCTTCCCCTGTGAACGTATAAGCTTCATGCAGCCAAAGTACAGTTCTTTCTGCCCACAGGTCCTGTCCCTGTGCTACTTCAATAAATTACCTGTCTTTTTCTTTTTTAATTAATTTCTAGGAGAGAGAGACAGCGTGAGCAGGGGAGGGTCAGAGAGAGAGAGGGAGACACAGACTCTGAAATAGGCTCCAGGCTCTGAGCTGGCAGTCAGCACAGAGCCCGACGCGGGGATCGAACCCACGAACGGCGAGATCATGACCTAAGCGAAAGTCGGACGCTTAACCAACTAAGCCACCCAGACGCCCCAATAAATTACCTGTCTTGTATCGAACAGTAACTTAAGACTTGTTTCTTGACTCTAGAACTCAATGATCCCATAACTTAATATTTCATGGCAAGTTTGTATTTTATCATTTTTCATAGTTTAACATATTTATTCTTTATTGAGAGAGAGAGGGTACAATTAAGGAAGGTGGAGAGAAAGAGGGAGAGAGAGAGAAAGAAAGAGAGAGAGAGAATCCCACGAGGGGCAAAGACAGAGAGAAAGTGAGTGAGTTGTGGGACTTGACATCATGAACCCTGAGACTGTGACCTGAGTTGAGTCAGACACTTAAACAACTGAGTCACTCAGGCACCTTGAAGGCCTTATTCAAAAATTTACTGTTGGGGCGCCTGGGTGGCTCAGGCGGTTGGGCGTCTGACTCTGCTCAGGTCATGATCTGATGGTGCGTGGGTTTGAGCCCCGAGTCGGGCTCTGTGCTGAGACCCAGCTCAGTCCCTGGAGGCTGTTTCAAATTCTGTGTCTCCTTCTCTCTCTCTGACCTTTCTCTGCTCACGCTGTCTCTCTCAGAAATGAATAAACATTTGAAAAAATTTGGTGTTTACTTATTTTAAGAAAGGATAAATGTGAAGAGGGGAGAGAGGGAGAGGGAGAGAGAGAGAGAGAGAGAGAGAGAATCGCAAAAGGGCTCCTATGGCCAGCATGCTGCCTGACAGGGGGCTCTATCTCATGAAACTCGAGATCATGATCTGCACCGAAATCAAGATTGGAGACTTAATCAATCGATGGATTCATCCAGGCGCCCCTCATTTAAAGCTCTTGTTTCAATCATCATTTGTGCCCTATGGTACTTTGGGATTTTCACATGCTCAAACATGTGAATTATGTGATTCTTCTCTTTCTGAAAACACAAAGAAGTGCATAGAACAGTATGTATGCGTCATGACTATGCAGCGAACTACACAAGATGAGGGCCTTCACTGCCCAATGGAAACTGATATGATGTGGGGCAGGAATAAATAAATGCTCAAGAAATTATTCCTGAGACTTTTTTGGTGAACGACGCTGATCTTATTAAAGCACAGGGACAGGATATGTGGAAAGAATGAGCTGCAGTGTGATGGTGAGGACCCAGTGATTACATACTTTAAGTTGAGGAGTAGAAATATAAGTTTCCAAAGGGATTGTCATAGGTCAAAGACACTCTCTGGATCCTGGAAATCTGGCTATTGTCCAGCTAAACTTGCTTTTTGCCTCTAGAAAAGCATTAACAATAAAGCAGTTGTAAATATCTTGATGAATATCTTCCTCTGCCAGTCTCAGGCATTTCTCACAGGATTGCAAGTTGTACAAAAATTTAATGATACCTACATTTCTTTTGCCTTTGTTCTCCTCATCAGAAACTGCAAGGAAGGGCTGCCTGGGTGCTCAGTGAGTTAAGCACCTGACTCTTGATTTCATCTCAGGTGAGAGTCTCAAGGTTTTGTGAGTTCTAGCCCGAAATGAAGTTCTGCACTGACCCTGTGGAGCCTGCTTGGGATTCATGCGCTCTCTCTACAACTTCACTGTTCCCGCTTTCTTTGTCTCTCTCTAATTAGCAAACACACACAGACACACACAGACACACACACACACGGAATGAGAAACTGGAAAAAAAGAAATTTCCATTTTGAATATGATGGTGTTTGGAAATCGCTCAGGGAATCTGCCTAAAATCATTTCAACTGATAAGGAAAAGATGCATATATTAGAGGAGAAATCTGGCAGCACAAAGCCAAGTAAACGAATGTAACATCAGCTATAAGGAATCAAAGCGATCTCAGTGCCTGAGGCACACGTCAGGACACAGGACCACACCTGTGTTCTTGTGACCCCCAAACAGCAAGTAAGAATAGAAACAACTTCGAGGATCCAGTTCATTTTTACAGACTTCAAACACGTATACTTTCCATGTCTTGTGATATCAGAATATTTTGAAGTATCTTTTCCACATCCTCATGAGCAGGTTATTCTGTCTTTCTTTCCATCTTATGTATTTGTGCATTTTCGTACCTACTGTACCCAGAGCAGAGAGAGCATTGAGATCAGGCCTAAATGGGAACTGTTTCCTTGCCTGCTATCCCAGGACCAGACCCCGTCAGCAACAGGAAACTTGCACTCACCACCCCACGCCCAGATCTGTCTCAAAGGGACTATTTTCTACACTTGCAGGACTTTAACTGAAAGTGACAAGTGTTGATGCCCTGCTAGAAGGCAGGGTGGCGAGAAGGGAGACGAGTCTCTGGGACACAGGGGAGGAGTGTTCTAACCACCTATCGCAAGTATCATTTCTGAAAAGGTAAAAATTAGGTGAAAACATAAAACAGAACCAACAGAACTAAAAACAAAATCACTGGCTTTTTTTTTTTTAATTTCTTTTGTAGCAGGATTCTCACACCAAGGCTTTTCTTTGCAGGAAACTGATAGGGAAAAATCTCTTACAAGATGGCAGGCAGGACTGATAAGGAAATACCTGTCCCTGATCAAAGGCTCCCTCCTCTGGGCTCTTCTTCCCACACTGCTTGTCTCAAGCAGAAACGAGGAATGCGGAAGTAAGAGGCTGTAAATTCCTCCCTCCGCTGAAGCTTGGGGCTCAGACCTCTGGAGAATGATCTCCTCTGAGCCCTCGGTGTAAAATAAACCCTCTCCCTTCCAAGATCTCCTGGTGTCCCTTGGATCTTCCACCAGCGATCCAGGCCAATTTTCCACAACAAAACACTGTTATGCCAGCCAGCAACACTCAGTTGGGCTCCTACCCAACGAACTGAGCCCTGAACACCACGTGGCATAGTTTTTATAATTTTTTACTTCTTTGTCTCCCATATATGGTAATACACAAATGTGTAGTCTCACCTAGTGTCTCTTATTAAGAGGTCAAGAGGGATGTGGTCAGGTGCTCATATAGCCAGGTTGTCTCAGTGTTTTCTTTCCTTGGTGAGGAGTCAGGACCACACATTTAGAGAGAGAGGAGACAGAGAGAGATGATGGAGGGAGACACAGTGCGGAGAAGGAGGGAAACAGAGAGAGAGAAGGACAGGGAAGGAGAAAGAGAATGCAAACTGAGGGAGAGGGACAGATGAAGGGAGGGAGAATCTTAACCCCGACTCAAGCCTGGAACACAGGTCCCCATGATCATCGCCTGAACAAAAATTAAAAGTCTAATGATCAACTGGCTGAGTCACACAGATGCCCCACGATTCCTACGTGCATGGAATTTCCCCAGAAAAAAACAACAGGGCCTCCAGCCAGGCCCACAAGGCTTACCTGAGAACTAGCCATTTCTTCTTTTACTTTCTGGTCTAGATTTCCTTCTCAGAAGATCTTTGGGGGAAATCCCAGCTGAAGTAGGAGAAAATGTCTGTGAAGCCACCAACACAGCCTCTTCCCCAGTAAGCTGCTTGCCTGCAGGCAGGAATTTGAAATGCAGAGAAGGCCCAACTTCCTAGTCCTTTGTGTTTGGAGCTATTCAGAAACTGTGAGCTCCTGCTTGGAGACCTATTGCTGAGTTTCCCTTCTCTGCTTTCATGGGGCCTCCCTTCCCGCAGAGGCCCACAAATTCTGCTTGAGAATAGAAAACGTGTGCTCCTCGGACCTGACCCTCCCCAACTGCTGTACTCGAGACCTGTTACCTCTCCTTGAGAAAGGCCTGCACTCAACTCTCATAATTTTTAAAAAACATTTTATTATAATTAATTCCTTTGTTATTTTTTAAAGGTTTTATTTGCTTCTGAGAGAGACACGTGAGCAGGGGAAGGTCACAGAGAGAGAGAGAGAGAGAGAATCTGAAACAGGCTCCAGACCCTGAGCTAGCTGTCAGCACAAAGCCCGACGGGGGGGCTTGAACCCACCAACCATGAGAACATGACCTGCGTCAAAGTCAGATACTTAACCGAATGAGCCACCCCGACACCTCCCAACTCTCATAAATTAATGGGAACCCTTCCTGCCTAACCCTGGGCCTCACTGAGAATTAGGATACAAAACGATAGGATTCAGTAGGCAGAAAGGGAAAGATTAGGACCTGAGGCCTCTGGGTGGAGGAAAAACACATTTTGGAACAATGCTGTGAGTGTCTGATCACAGCAAAACCCCCTCAGGTGTAAGGTTTCACTTAAGAATGTGACAGTCACCGCCTACTGCCTTTCAGGTTCCCCTCAGGAATTTGACTAAAGGCCTAACTAAAAATTAGTAGTAGACCATAAAACCTAAGACCCACAAGGAACTGTATGGCCTTAGACCACCCCTCTTACAATGGAAATGAGACAACCAGCCATGGAGAACCCAGCAGCTACAGTCATGAAGGCAGTAAGTGTAACACTTGAAGAGCAACAAGGGGGAAGAGAACGAGGGTGGGAGACACCTGACCCTCATAACACAAAGATTCTTGCCTATTGTCTCAGGTTCTCACCCTCCAATGCCCCCTCTCTGTACGGAGGGCTTTCCTACAACCTCCCTCTCTCATACTCTAATCGACTTTTGCCTGTTGCTCATTTTGTGTCCATTTCAGGATGTTGAGGGGGAAAAAAATCCTGCAGCAGACTCCCGGGGAGCACCTCACTAAAACAACACTGTTGTTTCCACCCACCCACCTCAGGGAAGCTGAGGGGGAGGGCAGCAGCAAGGAACCTTCTTGAAACTCCACAGGCGATCCTGCTGGGAAGCATTTGGGGAGGTGACCAAGCAAAGCACAGGAACCAAGGCTCGGGTCCTTGCTCAGATGAAAATCCATGCTGTCTCCACTGATCAGAGTTTCTGGAGATTTACACATTCTCCCTCTTTCTGCTGCACAGAGGGAGCCACCCTTCCAAATGGAACTTTCCCTTGTACATGCAAATGTCTCTTACAAATGAAATGTCCTGGGTTTCAGAGCTTTTTCTTTGTCAGATCAAAATAATCCTTAGGCAAAGAGACATAATTTGAGGTGACAAACTGCTGCCCTTCAGTAAGAAAGTTTATTTTCCTAGGTCACGGCCAAATAGCTTTCCAAATACAGTGTACTTTAAAAAAATTAATATTTATTTCTTACAGAGAGACAGAGAGAGAGAGAGGAAGAGAGAGCATGCCCAGGGGAGGCACAGAGAGAAAGGGAGACACGGAGGGTGAAGCAGGCTCAGCTGAGCTGTGAGCACAGAGCCTGACACGGGGCTCCAAATCCTCCACTGCGACATCATGACCTGAGCCAAAGTCGGGGGCCCAACCAACGGAGCCACCCAAGCTTCCCTAGAATGTACTTTTTTATACTCCCATTGGCATTATATGAAAATTCTGTATGAATGGTTCAGGGTTTGCAGTGAAATTTGGTGTTGCCCTTTGTTTTTTGGGGGTAATTTTTTGTTTTTCTGTGTGTTTTGTTTTGTTGCGATTCTAGTAAATATTCATGTTGTTCATGATATAATACGAAGTGGTCTTACTACAGGTGTGTCCTGGTGACTGAAATTGAAATCGCTTAAAAGTTGAGGTTGAACAAAAATCAAAACGACTGCATTTAAACATAGCATGGGTTGATAATAAACTAAGTAACCTTGGTTTTCTATTTGGGGCAACTGTCCCCTAACATTTTATCCTTTTTTGATAGTTTTTTAAAGTGTACTTATTTTTGACACAGACAAAGAGAGACCCAGAGAGGATCTGAGAGCAGGGGAAGAGCAGGGAGAAGGGACAGAGGGTCCCAAGGAGGCTCTAAGCAGAAGGCAGCGAGCCCAGTGCAGGGCAGAACACATGAACTGTGACGCGATGACCTGAGCAGAAGTGGGACGCTGATCAGACTGAGCCACTCAGTCAGTCCTCTTAACCTTTTTTTTTTTAAATGAGGAAATCAGTACCACCCAGGACACCCAATGAACAAGGCTGACAGCACAAAGGACTCCTGGCCAAACCAGGTGGATCCTCATTTCCCAACAAACCCTCAGCCCTTCCCTCTAGGTGGCCTTGCAGTTCTGAAGGCCCTAACCTGCCTCAGCCTCCTCAGCCTGGCAAAGCAGGAAAGCTACTGTTCCTCTTTCTCCCACGTTCTCTCTTTTCAGTTTCTTTTGGATCTGAAGCCCCAAGGTCAGTTCTCAAAGAATGAATGTGTAGGAGAGGAACACTTTGCTTCATCTGTTCTCAATTCTTTGGCTGGTCTAATAATTGAACTATTATAAGACAGAATCATAAGTGAAAAAAAGCCTTCATTATAGGAACATCAAGGAGATGAGGATCAGAGTCAGGCAAATGATCCTTATGAGCCATTGTGACTCAAGGAGAAGGGGTAGAGAATTAGAATTTGAAAGAGGGGGAAGTACACTCACAGGAAAAGGGAAAGAGTTAATGTTGGGCAAACAGGTATTTCCCATGTCTGGCAGGCAACTCTTTTTTTACAAGTTCCCCTTTGGTGTTACCTCTTTTCCCTATGGAGGTCTCTCATCTGATTCATTCCTTGTCTAAAAGCCTCAGAAAAGAAGGAAATCTTTCACTTTGCACAACCAAAGAATCCTAGAGGATATTTTGTTAAATTAAATGAGCCACAAAGAGACAAACATGTACTGTATGACTGACAACATTCTGGGGTTTGTGGTGTCCTGAGCCGACGACCAAGAAAGAATTGTTGAGGGCGTCTTTGGTGCAAAAAGGTGAGTTTATGAAAGCATGGAGACACGATCGAAGCACAGGAAGAGGTGCACTGGGGTAGTGGTGTGTGTGTGTGTGTGATCCTTTCATGGAGTCCAGGAAGATGAAGCCATGAGGGACTTTCAAAGAGGCTTTCACATGCTACACACTCACTGGAGACCTAGCTGTTGGTTTGTCAAGGTCAGTTTGTTTGTCCCTCCAGCAAAGCATTAACATTGAAACAGTAGGAAGTTCCTGGACTTTAAACTAGGAAGGGATTGCCTTTTTCTGGGAAGTGGTGGACACTCTTACCAGTTTAAACGTTTGTTTGTTTGTCCCTTTGTGTTTTGGGGTAGCCTGGGGTGTCCAAGGAATATCCTAAAGGTCCTACCTGGGGAGGGGATGTGCTAGCTTGTGCTTTGCCCCTCAGCCTGCCTCAAGCTCCCTCATGAAAATCACATATATGTGGAATCTAAAACAGACAAAGCTATAAAGATTAGCATGTCTGTTGCCAGGGGCTAAGGACAGGAAATGTTTAGACATTGGAGCAAATGGTAAAAGGTTTACTGATGCAGGATGGGTAGGCACTAAATGTTATAGCCTGGTGAGTAGAGTTAAGACTAGTGTCTTGTACATGTGGAATTTGCTAGGGGTAAGGTGCCTGGGTGGGTCAGTGGGTTGAACATGCGACTTCAGCTCAAATCATGACCTCGCAGTCTGTGGGTTTGAGCCCCCGTGCCTGGCTCTGTGCTGACAGCTCAGAGGCCGGTGGCTGATTCAGATTCTGTGTCTCCCTCTGTCCCTGCTCCTCCCCTGCTCGCACTCTGTCTCTTCCTCTAGAAATAAAAAACTATTTAAAAATTGTCTTAATTAAATAAAATAACCACAATTTGCTAGGAGAGGTTATGCTATGTGGTCACAACACACAAACGTCCACATGTATTAATTCTAGGAGGTGAGGGATATGTACATTATATAGAGTGTGGTAATTAGTTTGTAAGCAGGACCCAAGGGTTCAAGAGCACCTGCCTACAGTGGCCCCAGAAAGACCCAGTTCTGCCACTTGTGGGTGACACAATTGAAGGCAAGAAAGAGCACTTTGGCTGCCTCCATGTTGACTTCAGACTTTCCCAGTGGGTTCCTTCCAGCTTGTCTCCTGGCTCAGGAGGGAGACCCTGTGGACAAAGCCCCCTGAGGGGAACTGGAACTACCCGCTCAAGCCACAGGGACTGCCCTGGGCCAGAAAGACTCCAGCCCTGAGTGACTCCTAGACAGGACACCTTTAACCTTCACCGCCTACCTGCAGGTACCCACTCATTTTGGCCCCAGATCTCACTGACATAAACCTGGAATATTTCCCACACATCAGAGTCAGGAGAAAACAACCACTGAGCACACTAACCAAGAAAAATGAACAAAGTAAATCATGAGGAAAGCATGTATGGGTAATATTAATACAGGCAAAAATGCAAGGAATTTATGGCAACTGACATATGACTGATTCCTATTTGAATTAAACCCAAGTTGTTTTAAAATGTACTGAGTTGGAAAATTGTTATCCACAAACTTCAAACATAAATAAAAAGTAAAAACAAAATTAATTACCATTGTGGAAACTATCATACAAGAGGCAGTATGATTAACAGAATTTGCAAAGAACAATCAGAGAAATTTTAACCATCAAAATCCTGAATAAATCATAGATATTTGTTGGAAAACAATCCTGTTTAAAGAATAATACATTAAATTTTTTCAAGAACCCTCCACTTGCAAGTATTTTTCATAAATAACAAGGAGTGGAAATGAGAATGTAAGGAGGAGCCAATACCATTAAATGTCACCCCATGTTTAGAGTTGTCACTCATCTACAGTAAAGGATGATGGTACCTTAAGAAGGGGACAGTAAAGCTGAAGATATGAAATATCATGAGGATTTTTATCTCAACATCTAGAAATCCCCACCTCTTTCCCTTATACCAAGGATCTTAATCCCAGTCATACAGAAAGTAATCTTCCAGGAGACACTGCTCAAAGTAACAAAACCCCAAGTGTGGAATTGCACCCGTGCGCCAGGAAGCTAATGAGTTTTAAAATGTCAGCCCCAAGATCCCTAGCAACCCTCCCTCTTCTTCAAAGCCTGTGAAACTTTTGTTTTTGTGAAAAAGAAATTCATGTTTATTTCTTTATTTTAATGTTTATTCATTTTAGAGTTTTTTAAAATGTTTATTTTTCTGAGAGAGACTTATTTTACAAATAGTTTATTGTCAACTTGGTTTCCATATAACACCCACTGCTCATCCCCACAAGTGCCTTCCCCCCTCCCCCCCAACACCCATCAGTCCTCAGTTTGTTCTTCAGTATGAATTCTGTGATGTAGAATGAAGCTTCACCTCTGATGAACAGACTTCCCAAAGTCTTTATATTTGCAAAATCCTCCCCAGTTCAGTCTCTGATCAGGAGTCAGCATTTACTGCTTCAAAGCCTTGCCACACTCTTTAGTATTCAGTGGTTATTCACCAGGATAAATTTTCCTATGTGATGTAAGGAGTGAGCAGTCCACAAAACGTTTCTCACATTCCTTAAATTTGAAAGATTTGCTCCAGTATGAATTCTGAGATCATGAGTAAATTTACATTGAAGACTGATGAAAGACCTAACTACATTCTTTACATTGATTTCTTTCAAGGTTTCTGTCAAGTATGAATTCAGTGCTGTCGACTAAGGTGTAAGGGTCAGTTCATGATCTGGCCATATTCTTTACATTTGTAAAGTTTCAATCTAGTATGAATTCTGTGATGTCTAATAAGGTGTGAGTGTCAGATAAAGACCTTGCCACATTCCTTGAATTGGTGAGATTTCTCTCAAGTATGGATTCTGTGATGTCTGTAAAGGTTTGAGGTTTGGTTAAAGCCCTTCCCACATTCTTTACATTGGTAAGGTTTCTCACCAGTATGGATTCTGTGATGTCGAAAAAAGATGGAGAAATTATTAAAGGCCTTGCCACATTCTTTACATTGGTAAGGTTTCTCTCCAGTGTGGATTCTGTGATGCTCATTAAGGGCTGAGGATCGACTAAAGGCCTTTCCACATTCTTTACATTGGTAAGGTTTCTCCCCAGTATGGATTTTGTGATGCCGATAAAGGATAGACAGCCAGGTAAAGGCCTTTCCACATTCTTTACATTGGTAAGGTTTCTCTCCAGTATGGATTTTGCGATGTGTGTACAGGTTTGACTTGGAATAAAAGACCTCTCCACATTCTTTACATTGGTAAGATTTCTCTCCAGTGTGGGTTCTGTGATGCTCATTAAGGGTTGAGGATCGATTAAAGGCCTTGCCACATTCTTTACATTGGTAAGGTTTCTCTCCAGTATGGATTATTTGATGTTGATTAAGTATATATGGCCGGTTAAAGGCCTTCCCACATTCTTTACATTGGTAAGGTTTTTCTCCAGTGTGGGTTCTTTGATGATGATCAAGGACTGACAGCCAGTTAAAGGCCTTGCCACAATATTTACATTGGTAAGGTTTTCTTCCAGTATGGATTCTGTGATGTTCAGTAAGAGGTGAGTTTTGGGTAATGGCCCTTCCTCGTTTTTTATGAATGTAAGGTTTCTCTCCAGTAAGGATTGGTCTATGTTCATTTACTGATGAGCCATCAATCAAAGTTTTACCACTTTCTTCAAATTTGTAAGGTTTGTCTCCAGTACGCACTCGCTGATGTTGAATTTGTGATGAGTGCCAGCTGAAGACTCTGCCACACTCCTCGCAATTGTAATCTTTCTGTCCACTATGTATTGTCTTATTTATATGCAGTCTTGATGACTGACTAAGCATGTTCCCAGGTTCATTGGATGTCCATGGGTTTTTTCCTACATGAATCCTCTGATGGTCACCAACATTGGAGGACATGTTAGGAATTTGCCCACATTCATTATATTTACAGGGATTCTCTCCCAAATGTATACTCTTACGTGCAATAAAGTTGGTGCTTTGAATAAAAACCTCTTCATATTTATTATGTTCATAATGGTTCTCTGGAAAAGGAATCCCCAGATGTCTTTGATGGCAATCAGTCTTCCCAACCTTGTCCCAGTCTGTCACTAAGTGTCTATTCTCAAGGGCACCATGTTGATGTATATCCACTGACACATTTTGAAAAGAAGTTTCCATGAACGTCTTTGGAAGAAGGTTCTCGTTAGCCTTTGAAGATACTGCTGAAAGGTAAGAAATGAAAGTAAAATCATTCCACTTTCTTTTTTTTAAATTTTTAATGTTTTACTTATTTCTGAGAGAGAGAGAGACAGTGTGAGGAGGGGAGGGTCAGAGAGAGAGGAAGGTAAAGAATCTGAAACATGCTGCAGGCTCTGAGCTAGCTGTCAGCACAGAGCCCGATGCAGGACTCGAACCCACGAATGGTGAGATCATGACCTGTGCCGAACTTGGATGCTTAACCACCGAGCCACCCAGGTGCCCCTTCACTCTCTACTATCAGATGAATACAATGAAAATTTCTTTAAAAAATTTTTTTAATGTTTTATTTATTCCTGAGAGAGAGAAGGAGCATGAGCAGGGAAGGGTCAGAGAGAGAGAGAGAGACAAAGAACCTGAAGCAGGCTCCAGGCTTTGAGCTTGCTGTCAGCACAGAGCCTGATGGGGGACTCCAACCCTCAAATGGTGAGATCATGACCTGAGCTGAAGTCTGACACTTAAGTTACCAAACCACACAGGCACCTTGAATCATTAATATTTCTACAAAGTTATTATTGGCATATTTTACAATTTGATGGTGTTTCTTTGCTTAGAAATGAAAAGTTCTGGGGTACTTGGGTGGCTCCAAGGGTTGAGCATCTAATTCTTGATTTCAGCTCAGGTCATCATCTCATTTTTTGTACGTATCAGCCCCACATCCTGCTCTGCACTGATAGTGTGGAGCCTGCCTGGAATTCTCTCCTCTCTCTTTGCCCCTCCTCTACTCTCTCTCTCTCCATCTCTCAAAATACATGCAAAAAAAAAAAAAAAAAAAACTTAGAAGAAATGAAAATTTTTTGCTGCCTTTATTCTAAAAAATGGACTATGTCCTTAAATTCTGTGTAATAATGTCTATTAAGTGCTTAATCCATAAGGGCTTTCATTACAGCTTTCTGTGATTGATATTAATGAATATACTTTACAATTTTCCTGTGCATGAAGACATGCCAATAATTCAAACTCTGCCTTTTTTCATGGGTGCACGGTCAGCGATAGTATTATGGCTACAGGGGGTTTAGGTGGCTCAGTAGGTCCAGCGTCCAACTTCGGCTCAGGCCACTTGTTCGTTGTCTGTAAGTTGGAGAGCAGGGGTGGACTCTGTGCTGTCAGCTCAGAGCCAGAAGGATGCTTCATATTCTGTGTGTCCCTCTCTTTCTGTCATCCTTTGCTCACTCTTTCAAAAAATGTTAAAAACAATTTGACACCATAAATCATAATGCAATCTCATATATAACTACTCAGAAAGTGAGAAAACATATGACATAGTCAGAGGAACTTTATATTATACACGACAAAATTATAAAATGATTCAATTATTAAAAAATAATGTTAACAATTGAGATTCTATTATAGGATGCAAGTTTTGAATTCTATTTTTTTAAATTTATTTAAATTCCTGAGACAGAGAGAGAGAGCGTGAGCAGGGGAGGGTCAGAGAGAAAGGGAGACACAGAATCCAAAACAGGCTCCAGTCTCTGAGCTAGCTGTCAGCACAGAACCCAACGCGGGGCTCGAACCCACAAACTGTTGAGATCATGACCTGAGCCGAAGACAGACAGTCAACTGACTGAGCCACACAGGTGCCCCTGCAGGTTTTGAATTCTAAATGTTCTTTGAATTCTACATGTTCTACATGTCCCTTATGACATTATTTTATGTAGAAATTCTAGGAAAATAGTAGGAACTTTAAATTATTTTACCATCGAGGAATGGAACATATAGAGTGGAAATTTCTTATTTTAGTTAATACCATCGAAAGATGAACTTTTCTTACTTTTTATAAGCTTCGTTAAATTTAGTTTGAGAGAGAGAGATAAAGACCAATAGGGGAGAGAAGAGAGAGAGGGACACAGAATATCAATCTTTTTTTTTTTTTTAATTTTTATTTATTTCTAGGAGAGAGAGAGAGCGTGAGCAGGGGAGGGTCAGAGAGAGAGGGAGTCACAGACTATGAAACAGGCTCCAGGGTCCGAGCTGGCAGTCAGCACAGAGCCCGACGCGGGGCTAGAACCCACGAACCGCGAGATCATGACCCAAGCGAAAGTCGGACGCCTAACCGACTAAGCCACCCAGGCGCCCCACACAGAATATCAATCTTGCTCAGTGCTGTCATCACAGAACCCTGTGTGGGACTCAACCTCGCTGACTGGGATCATGACTTCATCTCAAGTCAGATGCTTCAGCAAAGGATCCACACATGTGAGATAAAAAGTGAACTTCTGAAGTGAAATTAAGGGTTAGATTATCTCATTTTAGGGAGGTGCTTTAATATCCCATGAAATTAGTGGGTTTCAATTTTGTACAATTAAGACTAAAGCCTCCATATATTGGAAACCATACACCAGATGACAGGCGGTTATCGGTCCTCAGTGTTTTCGGGATTTCTGCACCAAACCCCAAAATACCCACCGCTACCCTGACACATTTCTCACAGAAGGGAAACACTCAGACATTAATTAACAGACTTCCTCATAACTACAGAGATTTCCCCAAACCCTCAAAGCAATGGAGAACCAAAGAGATCGGGTGGCCATCACTGTGGATGTGAAGGACCTTTGGTGGCACTGAAGGTGAATCCTTAGAGAATCTGAGAGTGGGGTGTGTGGGAAAGCACATGCCCCTGTATGAGAGGCAGAGACATGAAATTAGGTTTCTCAAACTAATTTTTGTTCAAGAAGGACTGCTCAAACCACATTTTAAGATCTGTCTTCCTCCTTCACACTGGGACCTCATGTCTGTCATCTGCTTCCTTCATTCCCACCTACCTGGGTATGAGGCTACTGTGTCCTTTCTCTTCACATCCCATAGCTCCCTCTTTTGTTCCAAAAAAATGACCAGGGCCGGCTTTGACACAACAAAACCTGTTTGTGAGAACAAAGGGATAGAGTATTGCTGCAGATTCTACCTTTTAACCCAGTATTGGCCTCAGTAGAGAGGAGAGGACATTCTAGAATTCTGGAACATCATTCCCAAATACGATTGCCCAACAGCCCCATTGGAAAACAGGAGGGATTTCCAAGGTTCACATTGTGATCTCCACTTCCGACTATTACCACTACCATAATGGGTAGAAATTTGTATCGAAGATGGAAATACCATTTAATGCCACCCAATATTTAGAATTGCCATTAATCTAAGTATTGATGATGATACTCTAAGGAAGGGAAAACTCACCTGAAAAGAAACATCATGAAGATTTTTCTCTACATCTACAGACCCCTACTTCTTTCCCTTATTGTAGGGATTTGAATCTCAGTCATGCCAAGAGAAAGATTCTAAGAGATAGTCTTCAAAGGCAGGAACAAACCCCTGAGTGTGGGTTGGGAAATCTGGAAGGAGTCATCCTCACCCAAGAAGAGGAGGTGTCCATAGTTCTCTAACATCACATCCCTGTACAGATCCCGCTGACTGTGGCTTAGGCGTCCCCACTCCTCCTGAGAGAATTCTATGGCCACATCCCTGAAGGTCAGCAGTCCCTGCAACAAATACCACGGTTACCAAGTGGACACATGAGGATGTCAATATGGTACCTAAGATGCAAGAGGGAATAATGTCACCAGCTGGACCCCATGACCTGATTTTCATGGCTTACCTGTATGTGCTCACTGACCTTAGTCCCTCATTTTACTTAGCCGCTTATTTACACCTCCCTTTTACTTCAAGCAAAACACCCCATGGGCACAGTGTCCTGTGGTGGAAACAGAAAGTATCCAAAAGAAGGTAATGACTGCCCTGAAGAAGAGCTTGAAAATGCCCAATTTGAGCTTAACCCCTGACTCCCATCTATGGAGATGAATATCAGAAAAGAGCATGGAGTCAGGATAGTTACCATTATCTCACTATATACATTTTTAAATGTTTCTTTCCTCAAAGAGAGAGCACAAGTATGGGTGGGGCAGAGACAAGAATTCTGACCAGGTCAGGAAAGACCTTGAGTTAGGTTGATTTTGATACTGTGAGATCGTGACTTGAGCCTAAAGCAAGAGGCTGAAGCTCAAGAGACTGAGCCACCCAGAAGCTCCCTTTTACCGCATTATAATACTAAAATCTCCACCCAAGGAGGAGCACAAATGTCATTCAATGTGTAACATACAGAGAATGTATACAACTGTCATCTGAAGTCTCATTGGCCACCTTATCCACAGCCTCTTCTTTCTAAATATCCACCCTAACCCTAAATACAAGGAAACCATTCTGAGCTGCCTCACTGGCCCAGTTGTCTGACTCTTGGTTTCAACTCAGATCATGATCTCAGTTTTTGAGTTCTAGCCCTGCATCAGGCTCTGTGCTGATAGTGCAGATGCTCTGAGGTTCTCTCCCTTCCTCTCTCTCTCTGCCCTCCCCCTGCCATCTCTGTGTCTCAAATAAATTTTAAAAAATTAAAAACAAACCAAAAAAAAAGGAAAAGACCCCTCCTTCCTCTGTGAGTCTCTGGTTTGGAAGTTATACCCTGTGATCTCATTATTTCCAGTAAATCAATTTTCCTTTGTCTCACATCTCCACCTGGTATACTTTTTTAGGATTCACCAAGGACTAAACTCCTATTTGTTCAGTTATATTAGGAAAACTAGTTCTGACTTAGAGGAGTTTCTTGCTTTCTGCAGTAAGACAGTTTGTAACACAGTATTATGCTCTTAGATATTCTTTAGCTTTAAGTTATGAACCAAATAAATTGTGTTTATTCGAGAATTTGTAAAATGAATGAGTCAACTGAGACATACACATTTTTGAATCTTGTATTTACATCCTGCAGTACATGTGCTTTCAATTAAAAAATTTTTGTGACTGTTGATTTATTTTTGAAAGAGAGGCAGAGCAGGAGCAGGGAGGAGTAGAAAGAGCGAGGAAGACACAAAATCCAATGTGGGCTTTAGGTTCTTAGCTGTCAGCACAGAGTCCAACGTGAGGTTCAAACTCACAAACCAAGAGAACATGACCTGACCTGAAGTCTGATGCTGAAACCGACTGAGCCATGTGGTATCTATTTCTTAATGGAATGTGTTGGTGAGTTACAAATATACTTGCATATTCTAACATGAATTAGAATTCACAACAGTGCATTGGACCTTGTTAAAATGCAGATTTTCTTCAGGAGTTCTGGGAAAGGTAGGTGTCTGCATTCCTAACAAGGCCATAGTCTATGGGCCAAGGAATTCTTATTTCAGGAACACAGAGGAAGAACTCCAAGATCTCTTGGAGGACTTGGAACTGAGTGGGTTTTATAGCAATTACAGGTTCTACTACAATAGCAAGAAAGGCTACAAGGTTTTCCAAGCATTTCCTGGTTAGTAGTGAGCATCTAACAGTCTCTCATAAATTCATGGAAAAAAATTAATAATCTAAGAGAAGAAAGACTCTGTTTTTCTATTTTTAGTGAATCTTTTGTCAAATATCTGGTACATGGTATGGTCAGCTTTTAACCCAGACCTAGAGATGATCTAAAATGACACACAAATCAATATACACCAAGGACCCTAAATCAATGTATATAGTAGGTGTCAAACCTGATAAGAATGACAGTAAGAAAGTATGCACACAAAATTGATCTACCTTGGGTTGTCTGGGTGGCTCAGTCGGTTAGGCGTCTGACTTAAGCCCAGATCATGATCTCACGGTTCAGGGTTCAAGCCCCACGTTTGGTTCTGTGCTGACACCTAGCTCATAGCCTGGAGCCTGCTTCGGATTTGATCCCTCTCTCTGTCTCTGACCTTCCCTTTCTCATGCTGTCTCTCTCTTCCTCATAAATAAATAAAACATTACAATTTTAAGAAATTGATCTACCTTTATACATTCCATGCACACATCCATACATTTTGAAAGTACTTATATAACATCAAAAGTGATATAGTAGAGGGGCGCCTGGGTGGCTTAGTCGGTTGAGCATCCGACTTTCGCTTAGGTCATGATCTCACGGTTCGTGGGTTCGAGCCCCGCGTCGGGCTCTGTGCTGACTGCCAGCTCAGAGCCTGGAGCCTATTTCGGTCTGTGACTCCCTCTCTCTCTGGCCCTCCCCTGCTCACGCTGTGTCTCTGTCTCTCTCTCCTAGAAATAAATAAAACTTAAAAAAAAAAAAGTGATAAAGTAGAAAATTATCAGGGAGACTAAAAAACAGGTGTGTTTTTTTTTTAATTTTTATTTTTCAGAGAGACAGTGTGTGAGCAGGAAAGGGGCAGAGAGTGAGGGAGACACAGAATCTGAAGCAGGCTCCAGGCTCTGTGCTGTCTGCACAGAGCCCGATGCAGGGCTTGAACCCACAAACTGAGAGATCATGTCCTGAGCCAAAGTCGGACGCTCAACTGATTGAGCCACTCAGGTACCCCTAGAACCAGTTTTAATGGGTTTTGCTGGGTGGCCTAGTCATTTAGATGTCCAACTCTTAATTTCAGCTCAGGCCGTGATCTCATGATTCCTGAGTTCAAGCAAGCCACACCTTTGGCTCTATGCTGACAGTGTGGAGTCTGCTTTGGATTCTCTCTCTCCCTCTCTTTCCCTCACTGTCCCTCCCCTTCTTTTCTCTCTCAAAAATAAATAAAAAACAACCAAGCACAAAACATTTCAATGACATGAAACTCCTCAATTTACTCATAGATGACGATGCTTAGGTCTTTTACTCACACTATCAATACAAACACGTAGAATGATATAACAGTTTCTATTTCTGAGTCTTCTATGTTGGGGATACAAAGAGAAATATGTTCACCATACCACAGAAGCCTGACCTAGAACCAGCTGACTTTTGGGAAGCATCAAATAAAAACTGATTCCTGCAATTTTTTTAATGTATATTTATATTGTGAGAGAGAACATGGGTAAACATGGTGTAGAAGGGAGAGAGGCAAAGAGACAGAAAGAATCCCCAACAGGCTCCAGGCTGTGACTGAACCACCCAGGTGCCCCTGGATGTTGCATTTTTTTTTTAATGTTTTATTTATTTCTGAGAGAGATAGCGTGAGCAGGGGAGGGTCAGAGAGAGAGGGAGACACAGAATCTGAAACAGGCTCCAGGCTCTGAGCTGTCAGCACAGAGCCCAACGTGGGGCTCAAAATCACCAACCGTGAGATCATGACCTGAGCCGAAGTTGGACGCTTAACCAACTGAGCCACCCAAGCGCCCCTGGATGCTACATTTTTTAAAGGGTCTTATGACTGCCGATATGTCTCACCAATTGTTAATATTGACCTGAAAGAGGGCGCCTGGGTGGCTTAGTGGGAGCTGTGACTCCCTCTCTCTCTGACCCTCCCCTGCTCAGGCTGTCTCTCTCTCTCCTAGAAATAAATAAAACTTTAAAAAATATATATATTGACCTGAAAGATAAGCACCAGAGAAATCCTGGGAAGAAGTAGAAATTTCAGGGGCGCCTGGGTGGCTCAGTCGGTTAAGCTTCCCACTTCAGCTCAGGACATGATATCAAGGTTCGTGGGTGTGGGCCCCGCGTCGGGCTCTGTGCTGACAGCTTAGAGCCTGGAGCCTGCTTCAGATACTGTGTCTCCCTCTTTCTCTGACCCTCTCTTGCTCACGCTGTCTCCTCTCTCTCAGAAATAAATAAACTTTTTCTTAATTAAAATATTATTTAAAAAAAAGTACAAATTCCAAAAAAGATTTCTCATTGAATACTCTGTGCACCTACCCTCCCCCATGAAAATAAGTGACCTGCAGTCAAAGTAGAGTGCTTTCTGTCCACGGGTCCTGTCCCTCTGCTACTTCAATAAATTACTTGTATCATACAGTAGCTCAAGAATAGTATCTTGACCATAGAACTTAATGATCCTACAACATAATATTTCTTGAAAGTATTTTATGAGTTTTTTAGATTTTTATTTATATTTTTTTGAGAGAGGGTACAAGTGCTGAAGGTGGGGGGTAGAGAGAGAGAAAATCCCGTGAGGGGCATGAGAGAGAGATGTGGACTCGAACGAATAAACTGTGAAATCATAACCCGAGTTGAGTCAGATAGTTAACCAACTGATCCACCCAGACACATTGAAAGCCTTTGTTTTTTATTTTTGTTTATTTTGAAAAAGAGAACATTTTTGATGCAGGAACAGAGAGAGAGAGACAGAACACCAAGAGGGCTGCCATTATCAGATGTAGCCTGACATAGGGCTCTATCTCATGAACTCGAAATCAGGAACTGCACCAAAATCAAGAGTGGAAACTTGTCTGAGCCACCCAGGCGCCCCTCATTGAAAGCTCTTGTTTCAATCATCACTTGTGCCCTATGGTACTTCGGGATTTTAAGATCCTCAAACAAGTGAATTTTGACTTGAAAATTCAGAAGTGTAATTCTTCGCTTTTGGAAAACACAAAGAAGTACATAGAAGAGTATGTCTGTGTCATGACTATGCAGTGACATAAAAACCCATGGGCTGGAGGTTTGATTTAGAACCTCTATCCCAGAGGTCATTAGATCTACTACACAAAAGTAAGAGTCTTCATTGCCCCATGGAAACTGACCTGAGGTGGGCCAGAAATAAATACATGCTCAAGAAAGTATTCCTGAGGCCTTTTTGCTGGGTGAATGAGGCTGAGATTATTAAAGCACATGGACAGGGTCTCAGGAAAGAATGAGCTGCAGGGTAATTCTGAGGAGCCAGGGATTATATATGTTAAGTTCAGTAGGTAGAAATATAAGTTTCCTAAAGGACTTTCATAGGTAAAAGAAACTCACCGGATCCCGGAAGTCTGTCTATTGTCAAGCTAAGCTTGCTTTTTGCCTCTAGAAAAGCACTGACATTAAAGCAGTTGTAAATTCCCTGAAGAAAATCTTCCTCAGCCAGTCTCAAGTATTTCCCAGTGGGTTGCAAGTTGTAAGAAAATTTAAGTTTATCTACATTTCTTTGGCCTTTGTTCTCCTCACCAGAAATGGCAGAAAAGGGGGCATCTAGGTGCTCAGTCAGTTAAGCATCTGACTTTTGATTTCAGCTCACGTAAAGGTCTCATGATTTTGTGAGTTTAAGCCCTGAGTCAGGCTCTGCACTGACCCTGGGGAGCCTGCTGGGGATTCACGTGCTCTCTCTGCAACTCCACTGCTCTGGCTCTCTCTGACTCTCTCAAAATAAGTAAACTTGGAAGAAAAAAAAAAAAAACTACAGGAAAAGTGAAACTGGGAGAAAGAAGTTTCCACTTTAAATATGGTGGTGTCTGGAAATTGATCAGAGAATCTGCCTGAAAAACATTTCAACCAATAAGAAGGAAAATTACATTACATTCCAGGGGAGAAATCTGGCAAGGGCACAAAGCCAAGTAAAAGAAGGTAACATCAGCTGTAAGGAAACAAAGCGTCAGCTGTAAGGAAACAAAGCGATCTCAGTGCCTGAGGCACACCCCAGGACACAGGACCACAGGTGTGTTCTTGTGACCCCAAACAGCAAGTCAGAATAGAAACCACTTTGAGGAAACAGTGGATTTATTCAGCCTTCAGTCACATATAGTTTCCAAGTCTTGTAATATCTACAATATTCTCAAGTAGCTTTTCCACAACCTAACGAAAAGGAACTTTCCAGGTTATTCTGTGCCTCCTATCCATCCTATGTGTTTCAGAATCCTATTCTACCCAGAGTGGAGAAAGCGTTGGGATCAGAACTAAGTGGGAACGGTTTTCCTTGAGTGCAGCCCCAGCGCCAGACCCCATCAGCAACAAGAACCTTGGACTCAACACCCTCCCGTCTCAATCTGTCACAAAGGGACTATTTTCAAACTTGCAGGAATTTAACTGAAAGTGACAACTGTTGATGCCCTGCTGGAAGGCAGGTTGGAAAGAAGGGACCGGGGTCTCTGGGACACAGGGGAGGAGGGCTCTAACCACCTACCTGGAGTATCATTTCTGAGAAGGTAGAATTAGGTGGAAACATAAAGCAGAACCATCAGAACTAAAAAAATCATTGATTTCTTTTTTGAGATTTCTGTTGTAGTGGGATTCTCACACCCAGACTTCTCTCCAGGAAACAAATGCATTGCTGCTGACATAATTCAGTTGGGTTTGTACCCAAAGAACTGAGCCCTGAACTCCACATGGCATAGTTTTTATATATGTTTTACTTCTATGTCTCCTATATACGGTAACACACAAACATGCAGTTGCACCAAGTGTCTCTTACTACAAGCTCAAGAGGGACGCGGTCAGGTACTCATAGAGCCACATTGTCTTAGAGTTTTCATTCCTCAGTGAGGAGACACGACCACACTTTTAGAGAGAGAGAGAGGAGAGGGAAGGAGAGGGAGGGAGGGAGACAGAGAGAGGGAGAGAAGGAGACGGAGGGAGAAGAGAATGCAAACTGAGGGAAGAGGGACAGAGGAAAGGGAAGAAGAATCTTAACCCCGACTCAAGGCTGGAGCACAGGTCCCTGGGATCAAGGCCTGAACTCACATAAAGAGTCTGATGCTCAACTGGCTGAGTCACCCAGGTGCCCTGCGATTCCTGCGTGCATGGAATTTCCCCAGATAAAAACAACAGGGCCTCAGGCCAGGCCCACAAGGCTTACCTGCGATCTAGCCATTTCTTTTTTCACCTTCTCCTCTAGATTTGCTTCTCAGAAGATCTTTTTGGGAAAATCCCCGCTGAAGTAGAAAATGTCTGTGAAGTCACCAACACAGCCTTTTCCCCCAGTAAACTGCTTGCCTGCAGGCAGGACTTTGAAATGCAGAGAAGGCCCAACTTCCTAGTCCTTTGTGTCAGGAGCTGTTCACAAACTGTGAGCTCCTGCTTGGGAACCAATCCCTGAGTTTCGCTTCTCTGCTTTCAGGACCCTCCCTTCCCTCAGACACACACAATTTCTGCTTGAGAATAGGAAATGTGTGCACTTGGACCTGACCCTCCCCGACTCCTGTACAGGAGACCTGTTACCTCTCCTTGAGGAAAGCCTATACTCAGATATCATAATTCTTTTAAATTTTTTTTTAATTTTTATTTACTTTTTGAGAGACAGAGCATAATTGGGGGAGGGGCAGAGAGGCCGTCACAGATTCTGAAGGGGGCTCCAGGCTCCCAGCTGGCAGCACAGAGCCCAAAGGGGCGCTCAAACCCACAAACGCTAAGATGATGACCTGAGCTGAAGTCAGACGGTTAAATGACTGAGCCACCCCGGCACCTCTCAACGCTCATAAATTAATGGGAAGCCTTCCTGCCTAACCATGGGCCTCACTTAGAACTAGGATACAAAACCATAGGATTCAGTAGGCAGAAAGGGAAAGATTAGGACCTGAGGTCTCTGGGTGGGGAAAAACACATTTTGGAACAATGCTGTGAGTGTCTGATCCCAGCAAAACCCCCTCAGGTGTAAGGTTTCACTTAAAAATGTGACAGTCACCACCTGCTGCCCCTCAGGTTCCCTTCAGGAATTTGACTAAAAACCTAACTACAAATTAGTAGTAGACCCTAAAACATAAGACCCACAAGGAACTGGAGGCCCTGAGTGGCTCAGTCGCCTACTCCAGCTCAGGTCATGATCTCCAGTCTGTGAGTTCGAGCCCCGCATCGGGCTCTGTGCAGATAGCTCTGAACTGGAGCCTCCTTCCAGCTCCGTGTCTCCCTCTCTCTCTGCCCCTCTCTTCTTGCTCTCTATCTCCTTCTCTCTCAAAAATAATAAACATTAAAAAAACAAACCTCAAGGAACTGTATGGCCTTAGACCACCCCTCATACAATGGAAATGAAGACAATCAGCCGTGGAAAACCAGCACCTACAGTCATGAAGCCAGTAAGTGTCGGACCTAAGAAGGAACAGGGGGGAAGGGAACGACGGTGGGAGAGACCTGACCCTCATCCTAATGGAGAAAATAAAGGAAAACTCCTTGAGGTCATAGAGGTCATAATGGCGAACTGCCCAGGCTGCATGCTCCCCACTCACACTTCCTTCCCCTACCTGTGCATAGCGATGCCCCCAAGTCACCTACCCCTAAACATCCAATCAGCTTTAAACGCCGCTGCCCTTATGAGTGGGCTTCTTTTAACTTTATAAGCAAATAACCGCCTTTGTTCAAGGCTCAGCCCTATGGAGAATGATCTCCTCTGAGCCCTCAGGTGTAACATAAACCTCTTCCCTTCCAAGATGTCCTAGACGCACTTAGTTCTTCCCCCAGCAATACAGACCAGATTTCCACAACAATAAAAGAAAGGTGTTGCCTATTGTCCTGGGTCTTCACCCTGAAATGCCCCCTCCCTTTACCTAGAGCTTTCCTAGGACTCTCCCTCGCCTTTACTGGAATCAACTTTTGTCTGTTGCTCATTTTGTGTCCACCCCTCATACTTTGAAGCAGGAGACCAGGAATCCCTGGTGTTGAGGTAAATGGACCTGCACCAGAATCCCGGGGAGCACCTCACTAAAACAACACTGTTGTTTCCCTCCACCCACCTCAGGGAAGCTGAGGGGGAGGGCAGCAGCAAGGAACCTTCTTGAAACTCCACAGGTGATCCTGTTGGGAAGCATTTGGGGAGGTGATCAGGCAAAGCACAGGAACCAAGGCTTGGGTCCTTGCTCAGATGAAAATCCATGGTGTCTCCACTGATCAGAGTTTCTGGGGATTTACACATTCTCCCTCTTTCTGCTGCACAGAGGGAGCCACCCTTCTAAATGGAACTTTCCCTTGCACATGCAAATGTCTCTTACAAAGGAAACTGATCCTGGGTTTCAGAGCTTTTCCTTTGTCAGATTAAAATAATCCTCATGCAAAGAGACACAATTTGAGGTGACAAACTGCTGCCCTTCAGTAAGAAAGTTTATTTTCCTAGGTCATTGACAAAAAGTTTTCCAAATAGAATGTACTCTTTAAAAATTTTTTCTTTGATGTTTATTTCTGAGAGAGAACTAGTGAGCAAGCATGAGCAGGGGAGGGGCAGAGACAGAGGCAGACACAGACTCTGCAGCAGGCCCCAGACTCTGATCCTTAACTGACTGAGCAACCCAGTCACCCCAGAAATTCATATTTATTGATAGCTATCATGACTCATGCATTGATAAGGAAGATGCTGTAATCGAATTGCTTGATGGTAGCCTAGTACGATCAATACAGCTGCTTCAAGGTAGTCTAGCCTATATACTAATGAGTGGCTCATCATAAAATTGTTGATGGCATACAGTATTACAGTCATAGTCATAATGCATATTAGAAATAGTGTCACAGGGGCACCTGGGTGGCTCAGTGGGTCGGGTGTCTGACTTCGGCTCAAGTCATGATCTCATGGTTCATGGGTTGGGGCCCCATGTTGGGCCTCCACCTCAGAGCATGGAGCCTGTTTCAGATTCTGTGTCTCCCTCCTTCTCTGACCCTCTCCTGCTCATGCTCTCTCTCTCTCAGAAATAAATAAAACATTAAATAATATTTTAAAAAAGAAGGAAATACTGTTACATTTTTAAAAACCACTTGTCAAAAAGAAATTTAAAACAACATTAAAACAACAGAACTACTTATGATGTTAGGCTGAAATGTAGTTTCTCCAATTCAAAACTGAGTATTATTTAGTGCTGTAATGTAAGTGTTTGAATATAAAGTTGGAAAACTGTATGAAAACCAATATACTGTTAAAGTATACTAAATATCACTGTATGTATCTTTATGAAATGATAGGTTCTCTACTTCCATTAGCTTCACACACAAGGTTCTACAAGATGAATACTTAGGCAATGATGAGGATGGAAAACACCTCCTACATGTTGATTGCTGTGTAATATTCCATTGTGAATATAAGCTACACCTTCTTTTTCCATTCATCAATTAATGGACACTGGATTGCTTCCATTTGGTAGTTACAGTAATTAATGCTGCAATAAACACTGGGGGTGTACATAAGTTTTGGGAGATACTTTTGGCCTTATTTCCATTTTTTTCCTTTTATTTATTTAAATTCAAGTTAGGTGGGGTGCCTCAATAGCTCAGTTGGTTAAGCCTATGATTTTGATTTCGGCTCAAGTCATGATCTCAAGGTCCGTGACTTTGAGGACCCAGTTGGGCTCTACGTTGACATCATGGAGCCTGCTTGGGATTCATTCTCTCTCTCTCTGTCTCTCTCTTCCTCTCCCCTGCTCACTCACTCTCAAAACAAATGAATAAACTTACAAAAATAAATAAAATAAATTCAAGTTACTTTTCATACTATGTGGTATCGGTCTCAGGACTAAAACTCAGTGATTCTTCACATATATATGACACTCAGTGCTCATCTCAACAAGTGTCGTCTTTAATGACGACATTAGCTTATCCCCCGACCCACCACAACCTCAGCAGCCCTCCACTTGTTCTGTGTACTCAAGAGTCTTTTTTGGTTTGCCTCCCTCTCTGTTTTTATCTTATTTTTCTTTCCCTTCACCTATGTTCATATGCTTTGTTTCTTACGTTCCACATATGTGTGAAATCAATGATACTTGTTGTTCACTGATTGACTTATTAGACTTAGCATAACACACTCTCGGGCCACACACACTATTGCAATTGGCAGGATTTCATTCTTTGTGATAGCCAAGTAATATTCCTATGTATATCTATACCAACTCTTCTTTATCTATTCATCAATTGATGGACATTTGGGCCTTTTCCAACATTCAACTATTCTTGATAGAGCTGCTATAAACATTGGGGTGCATGTGCCCCTTCAAATCAGCATTTTTGTATCCTTTGGGTAAATACCTAGTAGTGCAAATGCTCGGTCATACATTAATACTATTTTTAATCTTTTGAGGATCCTCCATGCTGTTTTCCAGAGGGGCTGCCCAGTTTTCATTCCACCAGCTATGCAAAAGGGTTCCCCTTTAACAGTGTCCTTGCCAACACCTGTTGTTTCTGCAGTTGTTAGTTTTAACCGCCATGTGTGAGGTGATATCTCATTGTGGTATTGATTTGTCTTTTCCTGATGATGAATGTTGTTGAGCATCGTTTCCTATGTATGTTTGCCATCTGGAAACCTTCTTTGCAAAATGTCTCTTGGTGTCTTCTTCCTATTTCCTCATTGGATTCTTTGTATCTTAGGGTTTGAACTTGATAATTTCTTTATAGGTTATAGATATGAACCCTTTATTCCATATATCATGTCCAAATATCTTCCTTTACAGCGGTGGCCTATTATCTTTGTTGGTTGTTTCCTTTACTGTGCAGAAGCTTTTTATCTTGATGAGGTCCCAATAGTCATTTTGGTTTTATTTCCCTTACCTCCACAGACATGTTTAGTAAGAAGTTGCTGTTGCCAAGGTCAAAGAGGCTGTTGCCTGTGTTCTTCTCTAGGATTTTGATGGACTTCTGTCTCACATTTAGGTCTTTCATCCATTTTATTTGTTCCTATGGGTGTAAGAACATGGTCCAGTTTCATTCTTCTGCATGTTGCTGTCCGGTTTTCACAGCACCATTTGCTGAAAAGACTGTCATTTTCCATTGGATATTCTTTCCTGGTTTGTGGAAGATTAGTTGACCTTAGATTTGTGGGTCCATTTCTGGGTTCTGTATTCTGTTCCACTAATCTGTGGGTCTGTTTTTCTGAGAATACCATACTGTCTTGATGAATATAGCTTTGTAATACAATTTAGAGTCTAGAATTGTGACACCTCCAGCATTGGTTCTTTTTCTACATTCCTTTGCTTTTAGGATTAAGTTTATCTTTTGGATGCAAATAACAAGAGCACTGGCCAGCATAGACCAGTTTAGGTCCACGATAGGTTCACTTAGGAGACAG